GGCCTATTTCAACCTTCAAATAAACAGAATCTGTTGCAAAACAATCTGAAACAATGTTAATTTTTATTTAAAAAAATCTTCATCAGTCTAACAATATCCTAGGGGTTGCCACTAACTGGAACAGCAATATAAATACCATAGCTACTATAGCAGGTACAAAAGCAGAGTTATTAATTTTCAAAGTTAAGGCTTGAAAGAGCTACAGAGAACATACAGTCCAGAAACAAAGAAGCCATTTGGCCCGTTGGCTGTATGCCAGGTTTTGTGCTCCACACTAGCCTCCTTCCAAATCTATTTCATCTCAACATTAATTATTAGCATAGCCTTTTATTAACTTCTCAGTTGTTGATCTAACCTTCCCTTTAATGCATTTATACCATTCATCCGAACTATTCCCAGTAATAGTAAGTTTCACATCTTCTCTGGGTGAAGACTCTGATACAGAGCTTCAACTAAAATCCTTGGGAGCAGCCAGTTACATAAAGGTTTAGGACAGCTGTCACCATGATGGACAATGTGATAGGACGGCCACCCACCACTTCAGTTTGCATTGCCACAGTTCTGTGATGGTGTTCCTGCACTCGGCTCATGCACAGCGAATTGCATTGAAGTTGATAGACTCTGGTGTCCTGCATCTCCTAGAGGAGGGAGATCAAAAAACAGCATTCTAATCAGTAAAGGAATCATTTCAGCAAACTCTGTGGACAAGGAACTGAACAGCCTTTCCAGTCTTTCCCACTGTTCATAACACCCACTTTTCTTTGCTGTTTGCGTTTGTGTGTAGAGGGGAGGTTTTAAGGGAGTTAGAATTTTAACTAGCAGAGTCATATGTCAATGTTGCATAATTGTTTACCTCTAGTTACACTATTTATTTGTTCAATATAGAAACCTGGCTCATGCTTTCCGTCAACCTAGGTCCGAAACACACACAAATTGGGGAATTCTGTGTATTTTCTAAAAGCTTTAACTGTAAGAACATTCCAAGAATAGCAGGGCTGGATTTCCAGTACACCATCCCAGTGAGGCATGACAAAATATTCATCTCACTTTATCACAAGCCCACGCCTACAGTTTAGTTATATTGGCCATCCTGTGGTCACTGATGATCCACACCCCTAAAGGAATACACACCCTCCACTGTCTCCTCGCCTTGTATGTTGAGTTACCCCCCAACAATCAGTTCACAATGACTGCCTCCTCTGCACTCCAACATGCTGCTTCCAAACCCCACAAATCACTTTCCCAATTTACTCAACATATTATTGTCCCATTGACCATGGTTCACTCCCCTGGTCAGCTTGACAGGATAGCACCTACTGGGGAGTGACCAGATTCCCGACTGATGTTGTGCAGCCTCCCAAATGAGTTACCACTAATCCATGGACTCAGCTGGTAGGACTGACAATGGCTCACTCCCAGACTAGAATTATAGAAATCCCTGATCCCAAATGCCCCACGTGTTCAACTAACAATGTCCCTAGATTGAAATCAGATGATTCCTTGACTGACTAGTGGAATTCCTGACTGACAGCAGTCCCCTTTGACTTGACTAAGAATTATTCTCCTCAGATGCCAAGACATGGCCATTTGGTTGAAGCACATTCAATGTGTTTGCCAAGTAAGCTGTTAACACTTGGTGTAGATGTGACATTGGCATAACACTGCTCCATACATCAACATGTCTATCCCCTGGACTGCTAAACATGACAGGCTGCCTGGCTTTGTGCCTGAACTCATACGCAACGCAAGAGAGAAGTACTGTGAGCCTTTAAATTCTGAATGAGGTGATAATGCTCAAAAAGAGACGACAGTGAGCATCCATGTAGGCACAAAGTGATTGCTAAGAAAGCAAGCAGAGAGCCCCGAGATGCACCTTGTTCCAATTCATGAAATGGGTGCCTTTCCGTACGAGCAAAGTGCCTGGTAGTGAGTGAGTAGATAATGGTTACCCAAGTGTCAGGTGTACTTCCATCTCCAACCCTGAAGGTTGTGGTTTCTAGACCCACTCAAGGGACTTGAGTACAAAATCTAGACTTGACCCTCCAGCGCAGTACAGAGAGGGTACTGCACTGTTTCATATAAGATCATAGATCATAGAATCCTTACAGTGTGGTAACAGGCCCTTCGGCCCAACAAGTCCACACCGACCCTCAGAGCATCCCACCCAGACCCATACCCCTATAATCCACCTAATCTACACATCCCTGAGCACTATGGGCAATTTAGCATGGCCAATCCACCTAGCCTACACATCTTTGGACTGTGGGAGGAAACCAGAGCACCCGGAGTAAACACACGCTGACACAGGGAGAATGTGCAAACTCCACACAGACAGTCACCCAAGGGTGGAATCGAACCTGGGTCTCTGGCGCTGTGAGGCAGCAGTGCTAACCACTGAGCCACCGTACCGCCCTGCTTGAGGTGTCAAATTTCAGATGAAGGTCTTTGTTCACATACGGTCATAAAAGATCCCGTGGTACTATCCCATAGAAGGGAAGGTGAATTCTTCCTATCAAATCAATGCCAATTTGTAGACTTATTAGAGGACAGCACAGTTTAAAAAGAACCCAAGTTCTTTACTGAAAGCCATTCTACTGGTAAATGTTGGTAAGAAATTATGTTATTGTTCCTTTCTGAAAGTGGAAATACCCAGTGCTCAGTATAAAGAAGCTAGTGATAAGGCAGTCAATAAGAACACATCTTTTGACACATTGATATTGATTTTATATTATTTTTCATGGCTCTAAACTGTTATCCGTTACTAAATGCAATACTGCGTGTAGTTTACTAAGGATGGTATTCAAGTTGTTTTAGTGTTTGAACCAAAACTCGTTCTCGGAATGTTTCAAAATTATTGACACAAATTCGCTTCATTTCTCATTTACTGCTTTTACAGTAAACCGAGCCAGGTCTTGGAAGATTTGACCAAATGGTAGATAAACTTCTACAAGCTGGTTTTGTTGACATGTTCAAAGTTCCTTGTGCAGCAATATGCAGTCTGGACAATAAGAAGTTGTACTTGAAAATACTGCTGCTCACCAAATACAGAGGATATTGCTGGGAGATATGCCAAATGGAAACAGCTATTGGTACTATTTATTACAAAGGACAAAGCTACAGGTATTCAAGAGCCTGCATGGAAGAGATCCTCAGCTCAGCACATCTCCTGCTGCAATCCTCATCTACTGTTCAGGACCTGACTATTCCAATGCTCTCATTTTGGCCCTCAGCAAATGAGTGCTCATCAAAATATCCAAGAATCTTAACAAATATCACGTTGTGTTAGGATTAGACTTCAGTTGCCTGGCCCCAAACTCTGTAAATGCCTCTCTAAGACTTGCTACCTCTCTGTCCTCCCTTAGGACACTCCTTAAAACTTAAGCCCCTACCGAAGTTTTGGTTACTTGTCTAAACATGTATTTCTGTGGTTTTGCGTTAAATTTTGTCCCAAGTTCTGCTTGGGACATTTTACAATGTTAAAGATGCTACATAAACATATCTTCTGAACCGCCTCCTGTACTGTTTAACAGTGTGAACACCATTGCTGCAAGCAGCCTCCTTTAGTTGCTATTGGCACTGTTAACATCTACATGAGGTAGTGGAGACTTTGAGCAGCTTCAAACAGCTGATACCCTTACAATAATGTCAGGGCAAACTCACTTAAAATATCTTGCTTCTGCTTGTATCTCCTTGCAAAGTGAGGTGATTGGATCCAGCCATAACATAAAAGATCCTCGGAAAATATCAGTAATATACTGAACTGAATGAATGAAACAGTGCATTAAGTTTATTTTAAACTTTCCTTTTACAATTGGTGCAATGGTAATTGCAAATCAGCAGTTATTGGGTTACACTGGGGTCAGCGCAAGTGATAGGCACTGTAATAATACTGAGACCTACTTCCTAACCACTTGAAATATAAGATTTGAAATATTTTATTGACCTTTAGCCCCGGGGTTTCAGAAAATTTGTCTCTATACAAAAACTCCAAACATTCCACTTTAGTTTTTGAAATTGATGGTGACTAAGGTTTGAAGATAATACCAACAACAGAAGAAACAACTGTAAGAAATTTCAGAATATATAAACACACTTAATTATTGTATCAAACTCAATGTGGAGCTCCAATAAAAAAGACAGTGTTGAAAATACTCAGGATGTCAAGCTGCATTTAGCGAGAGAAAAACTGAGGTCCTATTTCAAGTGGTGACCGTTCACTCCAGAGATGTTGCCGAGTACTTCCAGCATTTACTGCTTTTAATTCAAATTTCCAGCATCTGCACTTTTCTACATTTTGTTTGGAATACCAATCCTTGGCTCAATGCCCACAACAGTATTTTGATACTCAAACTGAGCAACAACAGTGTAATTCGAATTCCAAACTAGTTTATGAGCACTGATCATTTGCGTAAAGATCAAACTATAAATTACTTGTCTAAGACATTAATTAAATCTCAGGATAATTGCTTAATTGGATTTCAGTCACACCTGTCCACTGAAAATCTTCATAACCCACTCTCTGTTAAAAACACTCTTGCCCCATACCTTAAAACATTACCTGCAAACTTAAAAGTGCAAACTTTCTTTCCTTAAATTTAGTTCTCCATAAAATTAGAACGTTTTATAAAGAGAATCTGCAGTTGAAAAATCTCTGGAATTCCAACACGACTTAGGCAAGTATTACATTTGTAAAGAACCAAGAAGAGTGCCAAATGTCCAAATTACAATGAGATATCTAGTGAGCCAAATAAACATCTCCATGTAAAAGCTTCAAAGCTAATTCAGAAGGCCAATGCTAAACAAGTCACATGAGAAAGAATAGGCCCTAAGCTAATTGGAGTTCAACACACAAATAACCTCGACTTAATTGGTTTGAGATTTTCATAGCATTTTGCTTTAAAAAGAGAGTTGGTAAGAAATATTTACTTCATTTCGCTTAATTACTATGTTTTCATGCTGTTTCTCTCTCTTTCAGTACATGCCAGGTTTCCACTAGTTACCTCGAATTACGTAATTGTCTAGTGCTTCTTGCATTCTCTGTAATGCTTCTGCACGGTTAGCTCCGTACGTAACCAACTGAAAAAGAAGAGTACAAGTGGATCAAAGTTAGCAGAAAATATGCATGCTTTGATATTGTTAGTAAGGAATCAAAAGTGGAAGTTTTGGGGCCAGAAGATATCTAAATATTGTTTATTCAATTTATATCCTGCAGATGTGCAAAATTCCTATTTATTTGCTTGCTATTCTATTTAAGAACTTTGAAACAAAGGAATATATTGACAATGAGTGCAGTGTTTTACCATTTTTATAATGGCTTCACATTGTGTCCATATAGCCCTCGCTCAATGCAATGAAAACTCCCTCACTGTCCTTAAATGACCAGTTGCCTATTCAGAAAGGTGAAGTAAGACCTCTGACCCTGGAAAACAGGAAGTACCACATCAATTGCTGCTAGCCTATCAGAGGCCAGCAGCTCTCCAGCAATATTAGGAGCAGTGGCCACTCTCAGTACTGCAGCAAGACCAAGCAGGAACATGCAGCCTGGATCTGACCCTTTAGGCAAGTCAAGGTCACTCCAAGTGTCAAGTTAGTAAGGAGAGGCCAGGAAGTGTGGAAGGGCAAGAGACAAGGGGATCCTGGTGTTGGGAACTGGTGGAGGACAACACATGAATAAATGGAGGAGTAGTCCATGTGACCCCTCAAACATACCCCCCTATTTAATAAGTTTGTGACTGACATGACAGTAATATCAATTCCCATAATCCCACCTACCCCCAATCACCTTTCACCTCCTTGATTATCAAGAATCCATCCCCTCTTCCTTAAAATATTCAAAGACTCTGCGTCACTGTCTTTTGAAGATTGGATCCTCAGAGAAAAAAATTCTCCTCATCTCTATCTTAAATGGGAGCTCCCTTTTTGAAGCCAGTGATGCCCTGGTTCCAGATCTTCCCAAAAGAGAAACCAAACTCTCCACATTCATCCTGTTAAGATACCTCAGGCTCTTCTACGTTTCAATCTAGACACTTTTTATTCTTCTAAATTCCAGAGGATACAAGCCTAACCTGATCAACCTTTCCTCATAAGGCAACAACCACACTCCCGCCCAGCCCCCCACCATTCAAGGGATTAATCTAATAAACCTTCTCTGAACTGCTTGCAAAGCATTTACAGCCTTCCTTAAGTATGGAGAACAATACTGCGCACAGTTATCCAGATCTGGGCTTGTACAAGTGAACCAGTACTTCCCTACTTTGATATTCAATTTACCTCAAAACAAGTGAAATATCCTATAAGCTTTCCTAATTTTTTGCTGTATTTGCATAGTACCCTTTTGTTATTCATGCATGAGGACATTCTCATTCCTCTATATCTCAGAGTTCTGCGATCTCTCACCATTTAGATGATGAATTTTTTGTTTTATTTTTCCTATATTCCATTTGCCAGAACTTTGTGCACTCATTTAATCTATCTCTATCCTGTTATAGTGTTATAGTCTCATATACTCTTTACATATTCTACCCACCTTCATGGCATCAGTAAATTGAACAACCACGCCCTAAGTTTTTTTAATCCTAGTCATTAAAAATATTGTAAAAGGTTGACATTCCAACACTGATCCCTGAGGCATCCTGTTGGCTAGCCAATCTTCTATCCATGCCAATTTGTTATGCCCTATACTATCAGCCTTTATTTTCCACAATAACCTTTGAGTGGCACTTTATCAAATGTCCTTCATCCACAGCACATTATTTCTTCAAAGAACTTCATTAAATTGATTAAACATGATTGCCCTTTCACGAATCGACATTGACTCCACCTGACAATGTTGACGTTTTCTAAGTGCCCTGCTAGGTCTTCTTCAAAAACAGTTTCTAACGTTTTCTCTATGGGTAATGTTAAGCTAACTGGCCCGCAGTTTTCTGCTTCCTGTCTCCCTTTTTGAGTTACTGTCTCTCTCTTCCAATGTAAAGAAACTTTCACCAAATCGTGGAACACCTGAAAAATTAGAACCAAAGTATTAACTATCTCACTAATTACTTCTTTTAATAGAATGAAGTCTACCAAGACCTGGGGACTCCTCAGCCTGCAGTTCCAACAATTTGCTCAGTGCCAATTCCCTTGTGATAGTAATTTTCCTAACTTCCTCCATCCCTTCCATTTCCTGATTTACGGGATGTTCCTTGTTACTTGTGAAAAATTTGCGATCAATTCATCTGACATCTCCTTAATTTGCATTAACAATTTCCGCAGACTCTCATTTTATCAGACCAATGTTCACTGTGTTAACTTTTCAAAAATATTTGTAGAAACTCTTATTATGTGTTTTTATATTTCTAGCTAGCCTTCTCTCACACTCTAATTTTTCCATACTTATTCATATCTTAGTTTTTGTTTTGCACTTTTAGTTTTCTAGTGAAGCAACAATGCTGGGGTCAGGGTTTGCTTCACTGGGCTCAGGTATGTGATTGTGGAGCCACTGTGTTCGGAGTGGGTTGGTGAGGGCCTCTGTGCTTTGGTCGGTGCAGCGGGGGGGTGCTGGGCTAAGACTGGAAATGACTGGGCCACTCTGCTCATGCTGGGAGCTGGTGGTGAGCAACACCAGGACTATAGTTCCAGCAACAAACAAACACAGATGCCTTGTATAACACATACAATAATTCCTTAAGTAAAGTTGTATGTTAAAAACAAGTAAAAATGTACTAACTTTTGATATCATTGGATCATAATAAATACTGATGTCACTTCCTTCTTGAATGCCGCTATCAACTCGGACCTAGTGAAGACAAACAACTTCAAATTGATTGAAGCATTTGTTCAAACATTTTCTCATAACATCTTCACACCAATTAGAAAAATATATGTTGCAATATTAATAAACGCATTGCAAAGCATTATCAGCATTCTATCAATGAAGCTTTCAGCCTGTTGAAGATTTGAATATTTTTATTCACTCAGCATACAATAAATATCTTCAATATTCCCATTTTACTTTCACTCTAACAGTACAACATTTATTCCTGTAATTCCCCAGAGCGATGACTGTTTACACAGCTTTCTTCCATCACCTACTAGCCATCTACCCACAGTTCTATTAAAGAGTATTGTCATATTATACAGCACACGAGTTTGGTTTATCAAAAAGAAAGATAACACATTGGAAATTCTGGTTTCCTTCTCTGTTTGACTTCATTAAAACTATACTTGGATTATCTGAATAAAACCTTTTTAAAATTAGCTGTTCCTGGGGCATAAGTATTTATTAAATAGCTCACGTTATGATACAATGTTCAAAGTATTTAAAAATGAATCAAAATATTCAAGATAGATAAAATCATCCCAGGAATTTCAAGAACAAAGTTCTTAGCTGTTGGAACAGCAGGGTTCCAAGAAACAGCACGGCGACAAAATAAACCTGAGAGAACTTGCATAGATCTTCACCAGGGAAAGAAACCTCCATAATAAACAGCAGCAGCACATCTGTTCGCAACGACGGCAGAAACTAGATGGTCACTGCGATGCCTGCTCAAATTTTTAATATTTTAATTTAGGGGATTGTCCAGGGGGATTTAAATGTAAATTTTTCTGGTCTGCTGCAGTCACAGCCTGCTACAAAGATTCCTTTATTTTCAACAAAGCGAGCTACACAAGTAACTGGAGCTAGTTTAGAATACACATGCATCAGTTTCAGGTCACTTTAAACCTACTTATCCAGTATTGTGGCCCCTCAGTTTCAGTTTCTGGTGTTTAGTATGTCATTTAGGAATACACAAAGCATGGCGAACAGGAAAGGCCTTTTAGTCCATTCAGTTTCACCACTCTATTAAGTTATCAAAGTTTTTCAATCAGAGTTAATCTCCCTCTGCGCTGTCCCAACAAACACTTCCACTGCAAGTACTATATGGGTGAAATACACAATAAATATCCCTTTAAACTGTCCCATCAAATACTTCCAGGGTAAATATCACAGGGGTTAGATACAAAGTAAAGCTCCAACTATATTCTCCCATCAAAGACTCCCAAGGCAGATACAGCACGAGGTTTGATACAGAGTAAGATTACTCTTCAATGTCCAATCAAAGCTCCCAGGACAGGTACAACCTGGATTGGATTCAGTATATAGCTATCTCTGCACTGTTCAAATGATAAAACATCATCGGAGAGAGCATGTTCCATTAAAATAATTTACTGAGGGTTTGACCTTGGTCATAAATAACAAATATGTTTTATTTTCCAATTTTCTGTGGGTATGAGCAAAAAGCAGGCTCCATTATAAATGCACCTTGTTGTCTCGGATTCTCCAGCATCTGCAGTTCCTACTATCTCCATTATAAATATGTTTGACTCATGAAATTAGGAAAATGACACATGTAATGACAATTCAGTATTTACCAAAGGCAAAGAGCAAATTTTCATCAATTCTTCTGAATCTAAATGCTAATTAAGTGGCATTCAGTGAAATGATCAAGCCAGATTCAAAAAATGTGTGTGTGTGGGAGTGGGGGTGTGGGTAGAGGAGGAATGGGTTGAAACAGAAAAGTTTTGGATCCTCATTAGAATAAAGCATAGTCCCTCATCAGTCCTATTTGCACAGTACGAAATGGATTTAATGTCCTAATATGGATGCTACTCATCTGCGGCAAAACTTGCCCTTGCCGTATGCAATTTTGCGAATTCATTCTTGGTGAGATTTATTATCAAGCCACCTAGCTGCAATTGCTTAATCAAGTCTTCTGTTTTACATGTTCTTCCCAGATGTTACTGTATAGTTTATGTAGAAGATGTGATATAAAGTCAAGCACTTTAATTACAACTTGATTTATAAGTTTTGGAGTGGAGCTGGAGCATTTTTAAACCCAAAGCGTTTTGGCATTAATGAGCAATGATATAACTCCTGTGGTATAACAAAGGCTTCTTAGCTTTTGATATTAATAATATTTATCAGTACTGCTTCAATAGATCAATCTTAGAAAGAAACAAAGCACTGCCAACCCCATCAATATCACCTTCTAAAGAAGGAATTGGGTATGAATTTGTTTTTGTTACTGCAATCACTTTCTGTAATGTACACAGAATCCAGTCAAACCATCCAGTTTCGGAACTAGTACCACTGGTGAACTCCAACTGTTTTTCTAGATTCAATTAAATGTATTGCATCTCCAATACCACTTGAGCTTGTTTTCTTTTCTGGGTTCAACCAATAAGCATGATGATTTTCCCACATTCACAACATTTCTGGATAACATGGTACATCCTGGTGTATCTGTACATTGAATTTCCTAAGTAACCTTAAAAGATCTTCCCATTGTCATTCCTCCAAAAACAAAAATACAGTGTTTAACTATCCCAGTATTTCAGTATTGGCTAGTCAAATTGTAGGAGATTCACACTGTGAACTATATATGTCTCCTTCTAGTTCATTTCTATTCTGTCATCTTTGATATGCTTAGAACTTGCTATATTTGCTCCTTCTTATCTTCATCCTCATCTACAATTTTGCTTCAACACATGACATAACCGACTTTTCTCCCTGCAACCAGAAGTATCTACTAGATAAGTGAGTTTACTAACCCTGCTATCTATATTGTATGGAATGCTGAATCTTACTTTCAAAGGTCCACCTTGTAAAAATAATAACACAAACAGTTTGTCTCCTGTTTGAAATGTTCTATTTGTAGCATGTCAGATTGCCCATCATTTAATCTTTGTCTGCGAAGGTTTTAAACGCTGCTGTCTCTCTCTCTAAACACAAGGACAACATTGAAGATTTGTCTGTCTGCCTTCAAAACTTTCCTTTATTAATTTCAATGGATCACTTATCTCATGACTGTAGATCGATTCAAATGGATTAAACACAGTAGATTTATTTGGGGAAATCTCCGGTAGCAAATAGAAACAAATCTAATTTTTTGTCTCAAGCCTCATGAAATTACCCCTTAATCATTATTTTGAGAGTCTGTTGGTATCTTTCTAAAGGTCTTTGCGTTTGTGGATGATAAGTAATAACTTCAACTGTTTTAAATCCAAATTGCTCATGCCCTGAAAATATGTGGACATATTGTTAGATCCTAGTTGTAATCATTCTTAAAGGAATAGCTTCTGAAAATCAAGTTGTCACATCCCCCACTATAAGACTTTACTGGTATCCTATTTTTGATTTTGCTAATGATCTTCCACAATCTATTAACACTAGACTAAATGTTTATTCAGAAACTGGTATGGGTATTAACGGTGTTAGTTTAATTTCTTTCTGAGGTTTTACTACTACCTGACAAGTATGGCAAGTTTTACAGAACTGCTCTACCTCCTTATGGAGTCTGAGCTAGGTAAAATATCTGTCATTGATGTCAACATTTCCATATTCCTATTTGTCATGTGCTACAAACAATATATCATTATGATATCCGGGCAGTACCACTATCTTATATGAAACTGTCCATTCCTTGTCTGCAGATCTATAAGGATGTCACTACTTCCTCATCTGAACACCATATCTAAGGTAATAACATTTCAAAACTCTTTCAGCCTCAGGTTCAGTGTGAGCTGCCTGTATTAACTAACTTAACTCTGGATCTGTTTTCTGAGCCGCAATTAACAAAAACTTGGAAAACACTTCTTTTGAATGATCTCCATCCTTGAAGAAAGTTTCAGCTGCTCTAACATCTGCTTGCAATATTTTTGACCTCTGGTACTGGATTCTCTTTAGCCACTGCTCACCACACACAATGGGAAAATATCTGTAACTTGTAATTGTTCTGTCTCTTTAACCTCATTCAGTCTTTCTGTGATTATAGATGAAGCTATAACTTCCAATTTCACAAGATCATTACCAAGCAGTAAGTTGACTCTGTCCGCAGGTAATCTCTTAAACTCCTACGACTGTTCCAGATAAGTTACATTCTAACTGCTTTTTGTATAATGGAACCGGAATATACTTTACACTTTATACATTTAGTCTAGTATTAATAGATTGTGGAGGATCATTAGCAAAATCAAAAACAGGATAACAGTAAAGCCTTACAGTTAGGGATATGACAACTTGATTTTCAAAAGCTATTCTTTTAAAAACAAACACAGCTAAGGTCTAACTTTACGTCTATATTCTTTCAGGGCATGAGCAATTTGGATATAAAACAGTTGGAGTTGACTACTTATCCACAAACACAGGCAGCTTTGGCATTCATTGCAGTCTCTGGACAGAATACAATGTCCTTCTCCAACAGAACACTTTGAGTAACTCTTGTGTATTTTAACACAATAATTGGGATAGCTACATCATTTGAAGTAAATGGAATGATCATTCCATTTGAGAAATACTTGTATTCACAATTCAACTCTTCTGTAGTCAGCGGACTGCTTACCTTCATTGTCCTGAATGTAAAAAAATGGAAATTAAAACTACAATGTGAACCGTGATATTTCCCTTTTCAGTTCCTTTTCCAGACTGACTCTTACGAACCCCAACAAGTCCCACGGACTCCCAATCAACTTCCAGCATTCTAAACCAAAATGTCTCACTTTAATACAATGGAATCATTTAGGCCTTTGATTTTCACCTCCAGCCTCCGCAAAAATAAATACATGGCCTCCAAACTCCTGGCCTTGGACCTTTTGGCTTCAGACCTCCCAGCCTTGGAGCTCACTGCCTCGGAACTCTCAGCCTCAGAGTTTCCACCCTCAGCACAGACCCAACAAGGCGTCCTCTCAGCCTGTTATGACGTTCTGCTGGCCCAGCATGGCTTCGGTGTGGACTTCTGTCTCAAGGTGATTCCAGAG